GGGCGGGCGGCGTTGGGGGCGTTGGGGGCGTGGCGGCGTGCAGGAAAACGAATTAAGTGGCCCTGGCCATCGGGCAGACCTGATCTACAGCATTTGGGGTACACGTTTACGCTGCATTTAACGGCCATTTTAATATGATAATCCATATTGCTGTCCATGGGTTTTGGTCCGTAAATTAAACAATTATATCAGTTTGCTGTCGTTTCCGAGTTTTATTTCTCCATCGTCAGGGCTGTATTCATGAACATCAAGGATAGAACAACGTATAGCACAATAAATATGACCAAATACAATGCAAACACACAATTTAAAAAAAACATTGATCAAAAAAACACGCAAAAGAGATATCTTACTAGGGTGATGGATATAATACATATTTCACACTTCTTCCGAATTGTCCGAATATACACACAATTGTTTCGAATTCTTTCTTTTAACAAAAACAAATTTAAATAACAACATAGCTAATTGCTTTCTTAGGATACCGATGATGCTGGTGACGATCATTAAAGAGTGATATGATGTGGTTAGGATTTCGTCAACCACGAAGACAATCTCCCTGCTGACGTAAAGTGCCACAACTAAAAAAATGTTGCCTATTCAATGTAATATAACTTTTCAGGGACTTTCAAAATATTTAAAAAAACGTTTAGGCAAGGTGGAAGCGATTTGTTGTAAGATAAATCAGTTACATATTTATAAAATGGGAGTTGAATGAATACATAGTTTGAAAAATGATAGTAGAAAAGAGTAGAGATTATAAATTTTTGCAACTGCAAAATTGTTTTTAAACTTTGTACAAATAAAATTATGTATTGAAATATCTTTGGGGAACCTTGGGGAACGAATACGGAGAGTTTTGTAGTGTTGACGTAAATCGAAGATTTTTGGAGCAGGAGATGGTAAGAAGTTACATAATGTCATAGCTAACAAATTTTTATATGTTTTAATGTGTTCCATTTGTAATTCTCTATCAATTTGTTCATTTGATATAAAACATTTGGCTTGTAATGATTTTCTTAAAAAATATTTTGTAGGGTTTGTAATTTATTTATATGTCTGGAAAATGCATTGAACTATATACAAGCATAAGTAAGAGATGGCCAGATTATCATTTTGTATATTAATATACCACATCGTATTCGTAATTTTGAATTTTCATATATTAAAAGAATTAAGTTTGGAGATTTTGTGTTAGGTTTTGTAAACAATATTTGTGATGTGGGACTTCCAAGTTAAATGTTTATCATGGGATACGCCTAAATATTTAACAGGAATATTACTATCTAACAAAGTAATATTAACATTATTAATATTTAGTGGAGGAGGACTAGTAGGTCTGCATAGTGTGAAAATTGTTGCTTGTGTTTTAAGAAGGCTACAACTTTTGAAATATTTTCGTTTTTAGACAAATACGTGTAGGTCAATATCGTTCCGTGGTTGTGATGAATGTTTACCTCGGAGCATGGACATTCCACTTTATGGATAGCAATAACTGTGCGGCAGCCGACAGCCACAAATTCTACGGCGAAAATTGCTGGTAACAAGCGCGTCAAAATGTAGGTTACAAAAACCTTCCCGCTTCGCGAACCAGATAACACGCACACGACAGGCGCAAACGAGGAGAGAGCAACCGCTACCTGGGCAATCCATGGCCTCACACTCTGGCGTGTCTGTTTATCTCTATTGTAGAGATGTAATACATAACTTATTTCGTTGTTCGTAGTGTCGTCAGAGCATTCACTCTCACCGCGTGGTAATAGGTTCGGCTCCCGACGGGTCGATACTAGCCATACAGATTTTAGTCGCTCCCGGGAGGAAACTTCTAGCTGCTCCGACCCGTACTTTCCCATGGTCTCTCCCATCACCACCAGGTCACCAATACCGAAGCAGTACTTTAAACGGGTCATGGACCGCGTGCAATCTTTCCTTCCTTGTCCTACCCTCACTCTTACTTACTTACACCCTACACGCCCTACCCTGCTATACGTGCCGGAAGACTGATCGGGAGCTTAGAGCTTGTCCCGGCTGGGGCGGTGCCCCGCCGATGGGAGATACTGGTTTGGGAACCCCGCTAGCCGACGGGAAATTCGGTGGCGGACCTCAACGTCCAGCGGCGACGGACCACCGCCACCTCACGAGGAAACAGCATGCACTTCACTTACGGGACTCTTAGCAGCTGACGTGCCCGGAATCACCTTCAAAGAACCATCCAAATCCAGAGCATTCAATAACCATAATAACCATTCATTGCTGCGAATATTATTTCGTTGACTACAATTTACGTGCATCGAAGTGGGTCAATACGTGTTTGTCTCCTTATAACAATAATATTGCAGTAACAGTTTCTGTACAATTTTATTTCATACGGCCTCCGATAATGTTTTGTGGGTGCTTTATGCCTCGCTACATCATATCTTCAAAAGCAATGACAGATACATGTTGTGAGGCAACTTTTCTTAAAATTATTTTATCACATATAAACCACATGTTAGAACAATTTAAGTAAAAAATTTAAACCGCATGTTGAAAATTAATAAAACTCGAAATGGTATCGTACATGTACTACATACACACAAATATACAATATTTTTTATTATATATGATAAATACGCAAATTACAAAGTTGGGTTTACAAAGTCTTATTTTCAAGCAATGCCAGATGAAATGGCTAATGTTCAAACACTAAATCAATTCATGATATAACTCCATCGAGTGAAGAATTGACGTGAATTGCGGCGCGTCTCAGAACTGGCAGTGTACACACGGGTGTGTACAGTCAGTCTCGCTGACAAATGTCGCGAGGAGCGTGAAGAGAGTTGTTTATGGGCGTAGCTTTGGGGAAACTTTGCGAGTTCTCGTCGATGTGTGACACTTCGCGGGTTGACAAGTTGCCTGTAATATAACTAAATTTTGAGTTAGTGAACATGAAGACGAACATAAGAACTGTGTATCAAGTACGCAACTTTCTAATTTAAAAATAATTATATCAAAAGCAAATGATAATATAATAGTAAAAACCTGGGAAAAAGCTATCACTCATACCAATTAAATAGCAAAATAATACTGGAAAGGAGATGCTTTGCTTAAAAGTGCTGATGATGACCTAGGAGTAAGTGTCGGTCCGGAAAGAGGCAGTGAATCATCTAGTGACGCGCGCACTCTCTCAGACATCGGCCACGACTCTCTTACGGCATCGGAGACTGAAATTGCTTCTACGGCATCAGCTGATTTAATATACCTTCAGAGACAGATTATGCAAAATTTGTACTCACCATTTTATTTTTGCCATGTTAAGTTGCATTTTTCACTTTTTACCTTTCTATTGCAAGAATATAATAAAAAAATTAAATATCGGATTTTTATTTTATTTTCGTTTAATTTAAACATTTTGTATTCTTCTTCATTCATCTTTTTAAGCAGATTTTAAGCGATTCGTTAGGTATACAAAAAAGTACCAAAACCGCAGTCATAATTATCTACAATTTTCTTCATAAAGGTGATAATTGCTTCCTAAATAAAAATAATTTTATTTGGCATATATTCTGAGAAGCTACTTAAGTCAAATTAAACGAATTATGCGAATGTTACAGTACTAATTTTTTGCCCGACGAAGGAATTTGGTCAAACTTTTTATTCATTCTCCAGCAAAAAGTAAACACGAGGTGCAGACATATCCAAATACAGTTAAAATACACAGTCGGAACCAAGTTAAAATACTCAGTAGGAACACAGTTAAAATACACACTAGGTTTGCAACGAAATAAATTGAGCATTTTTCAGCAACAGTTTGGCACGGTCCCATTTTTTAATTTGCGTTGAGTACCCTTATATCACCGATTCTATCGTTTCGGCTGTAAAGAAAGACGTGGCGCGCTCCTGTAAACGTTATTCTCCACTTGGTCGAGATATAAGCTAAATGAACTTGCTTATTGCGGTCGTAACAGTCGAGTGGACCAATGTACATGAAGTTTGAAGCGACGCTGTCGTGCAACAACGTCTTCATAAGTGACCTTGGTGTTGGTGGCAGGAAGACATTTCTTTTGGCCTCGACTCCACGAGTAGGTGATGGAGACTCATATAACTGTTGCACGCAACTCGGAGTGAAGACAATAGCCTGCGTGGACTGTGAACTCCCAGACCGTGGGTGCAACCTTGTCCACGAAGGGAGAGTACTTCAAGGAAAATCGAACCTAATACCACATTCGCTCTGCATGATGCAGCGTATGCGAGGAATAAATAAAATTCGAACTGTTTTCGTATTAACAATTGTATAGATGGAAACTAAACTTAATAGTTACACACTTGTAGACCTCGTAGGCAGGTGGCGGATTATCACTTAAAAAAAATGCACATGCGATGAGAAATCTAATATAAGTAAATCACACACGTGACATTTGCCGCTGATTGGTTAAAATCACACTGCACTGCCATTTGGCAGGTTCTTGTTCTGAAGTAGTTTTTGGGATTCCAAACACCAGTGCAAAACGTTTTGTCCACGAATTAGGGGCTAATTTCACATTCGTAACTGCAATGAGATTTCCCAGCACATGTGCATTGGCAAGAAGTGAAAATCTTAATCCGTCCTTCGTTCCCGCAAAATCTATAATGTTTATTCTGAGACATCTTGCCAAAAGTGCCAAAATGAATGAGGCCCATTTAGAGGTTGATCCAATGAATTTCCTAGCGCCAGGGAATAAAAAATGTAAGAAATGTGACAATGATAATGAAGATGACGATGACAATGACGTCTATACCATCGCAATCAACAGCGTTAACATTCAGGACAACGACCACGCCGTAGTTGCTTACAGTACTCTCCAGCTGCATTTGACTCAGATTTTGCCTTTGAATGGATGGGATTTCTCACGGTGATTTGAATGGACGGGGCTTAAAATTTTCTTTTGGCTAATGCAAATATCACAGAACATGTTCTTTAATTAGTAGACTAGTAACAGTTTATTATGTACAAGTCAGTTAACTCTCTATAATTAGTATAGTAAGTAGACTTTGGTGGCACAAGTGCATGCTTTCAGGCACGTTTATGAACGACTTGGTTAGGCCACGACGTATCCCAAACAAAAGTCATCCCATTCACAATCTCGTAGGATTTGAGTTCGAGTATCGGGGCGGAAAAAATATACGGAAACAGAAATTAACGAAACAAGTGAATAAAGAAGGGGTATGAGTGGTATGTTCAAGAAAACGAGCAACAATTGCAGCGAGTTTTCTTATATACAACGAGCGAAATTATTCCGTTTTATACACATATTACGTTCTTTATTTTTTATTTTTTATTTCAGAATAATTTAAATTTTGAGATATTCAAGCATATTTTCAGTGGGCCTTGCATTGTTTGTTTGCAAGAAATATTTGCGTTTGAAAAGTACTGAAAATATTGCGTATAAAATATTAGAAGCTGACAATGTTATGAAAACATTACTTCCTTGAAAAGTAAAAACGAGTACGAGAGAGAATACGTGTATAAACCTGGGAAGTAAAAGACTAGTCACTTCTGACACAGTTTGGCTAGTGCGTACTTTTTAGAACACGTGAACACAACTGATGTTCACGTTTTTTTACATTTGTAATCCTAAGACCAAATGCTTTACAGGTATAACATTTAATTTATTAATGTTAAATATTTAGTTGTTCCATTAGCCAGCTAGATTAACGTTTACATCACTAATTTAGTTTTATTAATTCGTACTTTATACGTAGTTGTAGATACATAATCTGTGACGTACATTTTTGTTCTTGGTTCATGGCCGACTAAAAATATTTTCACTACGTATGTGTTATAGGGTCTAAATTAAACGATTTTGGTCCATTATGAATTGTGATTGGTAGATGTGGATTTTTAATTGCACGATGGAATTTTAATTGCACAGGTGCTATTAACATAGAGATAACACAGGTCTGGTAGTAAAAATCTGCATAGGATTTTTATATGTTTTCTTATAGATTTCAACTTGGTAAAAGCGATAAAAGTACCAAAACATTTCCATCCCGTCATTATGTTTTGATACATTCAGTTGTTTTTTTTGTATTCAGCGTACAATTCCTAATTAACTTAAAATACAGTATTCCGTTTTTTTGCTTTTGAAACTAATACTTCTCACATTCATTTTATAATTAGAGCTGAACTTCGCAATAAATGAAAAATCTTTAATGGTTGAAGAGAGTAGTGGTAGGGGGTGGTGGATAAAATAGTTTTAGCGTTAACAGGAAGGTCGCATGATCATGTCGAAACGGGTTAAACCTTGACAGTGAGTAATACGAGCATATTTTGACTTATCTCGAGAACTATGTATAAATAAAAAACAATCTGTCGTTGGATTAGTTCAATTATGTTCCTCTCTCAGTTTATATTCAGCATTCAAACGATTCTGTGATTGTTATTATATTTCTGAAACATGAGTTGCAGGGCTTGTGTAATTTCTCTTGCCAGCTTCTATTACATGTATGGTGACTACTTAGTACAAAGTCAACAAAGAATCATAACTCAGTTTGTGAAGAAAGTTTATTTTGTGTATATCAAATTGAAACCTGGAGATCATTCCACAACGCATGCTGGCGGCGTATAAAGCTCAAGGATACACGATGCGATGAGTATATCATTTCTTACACGGCTACATTGACTATTTTCTTGAATATTTGGGAGCTTATAGTGACGATCAGGGTGAAATATTTCACCGGGATGTCCGTGATTTTGAGAAACGTTTCCAAGAAAAACGGGATGTTAATACGTTTGCTGGCGACTGTTGGATGTTCGACTGTTGGTCAATCAAGAAACCAAAGAAGGAAGCCGGAAACGACTTCGGAGAAACATCAAAGAAAAAAGAAAAATTTGCACAAGAAAAAAGCAGACCTAAAATTGTGCATAAATATCAGAATCATGTTTTCATAAATATCATAAACATTTTTTTGCAGACTTGTGTAATCAACGATTTAGCGTGAAATTAAACAACATATTTAATTAAACGAAAAATAAAATTATGCTTGTTTTTCTTTTTGCCATAATTTAGCTCATATTGCCAAACATATTGTTGGTAAAAGTAATTGATGAATATATAATATTGCGCAGAAGGTATTGTAATAATCTTCTTATTTTCGTCTTGGTTACCTAAGGCTTGGATTTACAAATATTCCACGCGAGCAAATGCTTCCCTACTGATTGCGTGAGTATTGGAGAGTGTTATTCATTTAACAATGCCCATTATCTATTCACAATAGTTTTTTCAAGCACGATAAACTGAAATAAAGCGTCGCCACGAGATAGGATTGCTGGAAAGAGCCTGAAGGTCAAAATGCTATCGTTTTTCAGCGCGCTCTACCGCCTAAACCGTTTTCTTGAAAGTTAAAGTAAATATATGCATTTTGTAGGAAATTCGACTTTAATTTTATAAATAACAATTGTTTTGCTCAAATGCATAGTATTGTAGATATAAGCGAAAAATTAAAAACAAAGAACTCTTAAGTGCCTTTTTCAATTTTTTTGTGAAGCCGTTCGTTTTTGAGGTGAAAAACAACAAATTCGAATTTAGCACCCCCAAAAGCATTAGAACTGTTGACGATAAATTTCTGGAATTTTGTCCTCTGTCGAGTCCTTTTGAGCACCAATTGACTTGAAATAATACTATATCGAACCCTTACGTAACGTTTACGGTCTGCATAGCAATAGATACATTTGTCCATGAATTTAGTTCTAGCAGACGTACATCCCAAGTTGAATCAGCATTTTAACACTACTTCTCATAAATATGTTCTTCACTTCATTCTCAGTCATATTTGATAATTTTCACAAAGGAGTGACATTAATCAGAATTATTTTATGACGTTCGAGTGTTATAATGTTTACATAAAAATTATCTTTAGTTGTATATTTGTACAAAGATTCGATCTACCAAATAATATTCTTAGTTAAGGTTTCGTAATATTGTATCTTCTAGCAAGGTAGGTCAAGATTCTCACTACTTGCTTTCCCCTTTGAGCGATGTGGACCTCATATTTCGTAAGAGGAAACTTGCGTCAAGCAGAAGGAAACAACGGAGATAAGATATGATCGGATGGTTACGCCCACTCAAATTATAATACACGTTCTTTTCTAAGTGGACGAAATGTTGTCCAGTCTGAGTATCAGGTACTCATTTGATTCTCAAGTTGAAATACAAATCGTAGACAATTTTTCATTGCACTATTATTTATTAAAACATCCAATCAATGAATGCCCTGGGCAGTGGCCTATTAAATAAATCAATTGTAAATACTTTTTTGCACGAAGAAATAGTATTTCTAATTTATAATTCTGCTTTTAATTATCGTAGTTAACTTAATTTCAAATTATAATTTGAATACAAAATATCATGTGAATACAATAGTATAATATGAATTATCTTATGAGTACATAAAATGTATATATTTATCATATGAATTGTATATAATTGTTCTCGGAAATATAAATTTAAGTCATTGACGTGTTCTTCCCATGGCAGTAAGCACTGGACATTGATTGTCAGACTAAGAAATGCTCAGTGCTGCCTCATGCAATTTGTAAATGATGGTGTCGATTGTGAGCCCGTCAACTTCTTAGGTCAGGGTTGTCCAACTTGCGGTTCGTGGGCCGCATGCGGCCAGCCAGCGGGGCCATTAATTGTGGCCTGCGTAAAGTTATTAGTTCAAAGTGTAAGTCCGGTGCAGAGTCGCTGCTAGGCTCATGAGCGCCCCTGTCAAGATTTGAATTTTGAAAGTATAATTTATATTTAAAATATGTATACATTTAAACATGAAATTAATTCTTAATACTTATTTTACTAATTATATTGAAATATTGCCCGCGGTGGTGCACGAAATACTGCACGCCCTGACCTTTGTGTAGGGTCCTGCTGCGACATTCGCCTCCTATCGATTGCAGAAACCACGGGAAACTACCAGGCAGAGCATCTAGGCGACTTGGCTTTCTACAGTGTTGAAACAGCAACACCATCGGGACTCGAACCCTGGGTCTGTGAAACGGCTACAGAAACAACGCTGATGTAACTCATACTCATTAAAGAAAATATTATGTTTTAATCTTTCTATTTAAAAATAACATGTGGAAATATTTTTATAATTATTTATGAATATATCTTTACCGTATCTGTTAATTATTGCGTAGGCTTCCGACACTGGCGTTTGTTTGGGAGTTTTTTGTTTGGGTTTTTGTTTGATGATGATGAAGGAGAAGAAGTTGAAGGAGAAGAAGAAGAAGAAGGAGAAGAAGAAGAAGACGATGGAGAAGAAGAAGAAGACGAAGGAGAAGAAGAAGAAGACGAAGGAGAAGAAGAAGAAGAAGAAGAAGAAGAAGAAGAAGGAGAAGATGAAGGAGATAAAGAAGAAGAAGGAGATGAAGAAGAAGGAGATGATGAAAAGGTTTGAGAGTTTGAGAATTTAAATAGGCCGGAAACCTTCCACCTCTGGAATTCTTACAGACACAAATAATAACAATTTCCGATCTCATGGCCACGGAACACAATTATAAAATTGATTAGCAGGTCTCAGTTTAACTTATTAGGCTTTGGATATATGCAAATACCTGCTATCTTCTGCTAGGAATTACCGAAGTGGCAATTACAAGAAAAACTGTCAGTTCATTATAATGAACACGTTACAACGGAGAAAGATAATATGAACTAAGATGCGTAACTATAATACCACGATAAAGTAGTTACGTAAAGTAGACATTCAGACCAATAAGAATTCTTGACTAAATGAAACCATCAATCGCAACTATTTTCTCGTGGGACTTGGATATTAGCTGCACGAAAGCCGGCAATGAAAAACACGCACATATTTGCAAAGCTTCTCTTCAGTTGAAGGCTTCACGCGAGAAAATCTTCAAAACTGATGGCGAGTTTTACCTACTTTGAAGGTCTGTCTCTTGGAAACGTCGATGTAAAATTTTAACTATCAGTTTTGCAACGCGAACATGAAACTTAACATAACTTAATATAGCTGACACATGAAAGTGTATATTATAACATCTGAAATAAGGACGGTCCCAGAGAAATGGAGAAGTATTTTTGTATGTACGCACTTAAATTCGTAACCATTATTTCAGCATTGAGTGCTTGAGTTCAATTTTAACTCTACTTTTGAAATGTTTTTAATAGTGTGTGGGACCTTACTCAATCGTCAATTTTCATTCGTAGAGATGTTTGAAAAGTAAGATGGACACGAGTTAGGAAGGGAATGTATAAACAGAGTCAATTTACTACGAATAATGCTTTATTCGAACCTTCAAATTTATTTTAAATTTATCTCGCTATATCTACAAGTGATTTTCGACTGCTATTATGTTTGTGCGTATTTATGTTGTATCTTTGGTTATTTTTATGTTAAAAAAAATTAAAATTTCGATAACTGAAGCAAGTTCGAAGTTTGCTATAAAGATTAAAATTGCGTGTTGCTGCTTTTAATAGACATTTTTTTGATGTAGACTTTGAAGTCGTGGACACATCACACTTCATCTCAGACTGAAGGCATTGGAAATGAGAGTGATGCGTTAGTTTGCATAATACTGACTGACTATTTGTAATACGTGTTCGAGTAAAGGAAAGATATTTAGTTCTCTCTGAATATTTTCTTTAGAAATAAAACACTGAGCATTAGATAATTCTTAAAGATTTGTTTTGATTTATTGTTAATCTTTTGAAGTTTGCTGGGGGCAGTGCCTTCTCAAAGAGATTATTTGTAAGTTACATTCTGTAGAATGAATGATTTGTATAAAATAAGTCGACATTCGACTTTTTATTGTAAACCGTGCAATAATAAATGAAAGAGGTTTTGGCATTTTCTTCGTTACATAGCTTTCTATCGCATTGATATTGGACTTGAATGTTAGTCTTTTGTCAAATAATACTTCTAGGTATTTTATAGATGAAAAGGTTTATTGTTCACGTGTACGTGAAGATGTAAGATGGCTCGATTTTTGGGGAGCACAATGTGAAAATTTTAGTCTGGCATTTCAGAGGGTTTATTTTCAATTTTTCTTTTTCCTCCAAATATTGTACTCTGTTAGAGTATTTGGAATACATTCCTATGCTAAATTTTCTTCGCCAAGATACTTCAATAGTCCCCACATAACATTATTTCGACCGGTCCCCTGATCTTATAAAACTATTTTTAAAATCAGCCCACGACACAGAGATTGTGCTGTTCTTCAAGAGCACATGAACGAACTAGTCACTTTACTACTCGATGTATCATATTCAGGCATATTTTCCAGCTTCCTTTCATACGCAATTGTTTCGTTTCTACAAAGCTACCGTAATTAATAATAATAATAATAATAATATCTCCAAGGCAGTACACGACATTGTAGTTGTTGGTGGAGCTTGAGTACGCCCGTGAGCTTGAGGGCTATGTCGGCGGTAACCTTGCTGGATAGCTTGAAGGTGAGTGGTCAGGCGAAGTACTCCAGAGGAGAGCCTCAACTGCATCTTGGAAGAAGAAAGGAGGATCGAAGAAGATAGCGGGTGAGGCACCTCCAACACTTGACTGATCCGCAGCGAGCGGCTGCAAATAGCTCTGTGTTGGGGGCGTCTGAATCCTTGGCAGGAAGTAAGTAGAAAGGGAAGCGTCTCGAACCCTTGGACGTGCAATGATCGCCCGTGAAGGGTTCAGGAGAGAAGCAGGGCTGGCGCTCCACGCCACAGGAGGCCCTTCGGGGGATGAGCCGAGGCCACTGTGGATCGCAGTGGTGGATGGCAGGAAATGGCCCTTGGGGTAAGTGTGATCTTGAACTCCAACTTTCTTCCTGTGACATTCAAAACCAATGAACAAAATGGATAGAACAAAAAATGGAATGAACCTCACAGTGCCATCTTCAACAAATGTGCCATGCCTGCTCAGAAACCGAAGTAATGTCCCCTTGTCGACGTCTGGCTATCCCACAGATGTTACTCGTAGGGGCCCTGAGTCGGCAGTAGCTCAAAGCCATCGTCAGAGATGAAAATGGGATGAACTGAAGGAGGTGATGTTGTGCTTTTTCTTGGCAGACGAGCTTGACTGAATTCAACTAAATTACCGTTTAACCAATTGTGCAGGGCCAATTAGTGCCGTGTGTATGTGTATCAAGGAATGGTGATAGTGACGATAGTGGATATATAGTACGATAGTATATGAATGTTTTATCTCTATTATTTATTTAAATTTAATTTGAATTGTGAATTAGATTTCATTTGCGTTTTGATGAAGCAAAACAATGGGTCAACTATAATATGCAATGTTCAACATTGTTGAGAATGTTAATAAATAATAATAATAATAATAATAATAATAATAATAATAAAGGCAGGTGTACAAATGTTTAATAAACAATCCCGAAATTTATTTAAACCGGCAAAATTTGTATTTTTTAGTATACAGACTCCTATCATGTTGACTATAAGAACAAAGAGAAATTGCATGTAATATGAAATAATAGGAAAACCCGTTTATCGTTTTACTGTGTAAAAAACTGTTTTACAAACGGACGGCCACAAAATGAAAATATACACCTGTATCAAGTGTTGATCATTACTTCCTTTGATTCCTCTTTTGATGACCATGGAATAAACAGCAGCGACGCAGTTGGAGAAAGAGTGAATGTCCTCCGAAGGATACGGAGGTTAGCTTTAAGTGGCAGGGTCATTAAGATCGCAATGCATCTAAGAGGAAACTGTTGGCATACTTCACATATCAGTCGCGACTTTCGGGTTGTTACCGAAGCAATCTAAAACGCAAGCATTTACGGCATTTAAAAAGAAAGTTGTTCTTTTGTTTTAATTTGTAAAAATATTAAAGAATCTTTGAATGCTTTACAAATACAACTTATGATATATTGAAGGATTCTTTCCTTGAGAATTACAAATAACGCATACTTAGAACTACAAAATATTGATGATCTCTTCAAAAATGATATTACATCACTTAATCTTCATCTAATTGTATTCAATATATTTCTAATTCAAGTACATATTTTGAAAAATATTTTTAATTTGTGCCAATATAATAATGTATGTTTCTATTACACAAAAGATAATGAAAATATTGTATGTCGTCAAAGAATGCAATTTGAAAAAAATCATTGTTTCAGAAAAATATATTTAAAAAAGGCGAACAGTGTCCTCCATTTCCATAATGCACTTTTGAGCATGCTATAAAAATAGTATTTTGTTTTACAAGGTTTGAATAAACTAAATCGTTGGCAAGTCATTTTAAGACAAACATCTTAACATCATATTACAAATGTATTTTTTACACATGAAACATGAATGTGCTAGAAAAATATTGCTCGGTTTTGAAGTCTTCTTAATTTTTATTTAGGATGATTGATTTGTTTTTTGCATTTGGGGAATGAACACTGCTTATATCCGAGCTCCATGTTTTTCCGCCAGCAAAGGGGGTAAAGGGGAGCTGTGTGCTATTGCACTACAAGAAGTCAAGGCAAGAGGCAGGATTAAAGAGAGAAAAGAAACAAAGAAAAGAAATACCATTCCGTCTGAACGTTTCACAAAATGCTAAGATGACTAGCGTTGCTCAGCACATCATCTGGAGGAAACTTCCACTAATCTATTGTTTTCATTTCTAGTTAAACTATTTCCCTTTCGCTACAAGGAAAGCACGACCGTGCCAGTAGTAATGCAAAAACTATTTTTGCATTTCATCTTTTTAGACGATCTCATTCGTTACAAGAAATCGTTCATAAAATGAAATCTTACGGCACAGATTATGACGTATTTCACATTCAGCCACTCGCAGGTAAGAGAATTGTGAGGAGGTGGCGGTAAACCAAACAGCCGACGGCGGTTATTCGCACAGATGTCAAATTCTCGTGGCGTCCCTATAGAGTTGTTTTCAAAAATTAAGTTTCATTCTCTTACGACCTTATAATGCTGCTATACAAAAAGAATTGATTCAACGTTGCTTTACTGCATTTGTTCAAATTTGAACACTCGCTCCTAACGTCGTTCGTTTTAAAAACATGTATCCAATCTTAACATTATATACTAATTGCATAATGTAATATGTGTAAACATTTAATAAAATAATGTACATACCAGAAAAACTCGTTACTTCAGAATTCTTACCTTTTATGAAAAGGTTTGTTGGCGTTGTTTGAGAAAAGGGCTTTGATAGATCAAAAATACATTTATCTAGGGATTAACAACCATACATCTCGCGAAATGGAACATCGAGTGAAATCAAACCATTCGCTTCACAATATACAGTTGTAGTCTGAATTACTCGAAAACGTCCCAAAAGTGCGTTATACAGTCACGAGAATTTCATCCACTCTCGCAAACGTTTCCTCACACGGCCGTCCCCTAAAATATAACATTATTCCTGCCAATTAATTGATTCCTAACTTTATGTAACCTCAATATTTTGGAACTGCGAACGCAGAACATTCGAGGGGGGTCATTTTATTAATACTAAGAATATCAGTGGAACGAATCAAATTACCTACTTCTTGTCTACGTAACACTTACATACAATTAAATTAAAAGAACAGAAATCACGAGAGGTTAATAAACATTAAGAAACAATTGGGAGATAAAAGTATCGTTAATTTTCGATTCCCAACCTAAAAAATTCAAAACATTCAATTATTTGTTTAAAAACAAGTTTTACATATCTATGTTTAAGACCTTAATGTACAAGTTGTATGTAACTGCAACTTTCAGATGAAATCTAGTAACTCGTTGTTGGGACTAATTAGTAGCATTCTCAAGAAACGTTCTCCACACTGCAAGGAACTTCCGAAATATAGTTTATTGTTGGTTCATGACTGATATTGGCCACGCGCGGGTGGTTCTTGTCTTGCCAGGTTGCATGTCAACACATCGTTTTGGATGCACGGACGCTGGTTGCCCTTCCCGTATTCCGTCCAGTGACTTGCCCCCCACGTTCCCTCTAATAAGACACAATATCGACGTCGTCCTGAATACTCCCTTTGCTCCCTTCCGGGAACTCTCGTCCGGAAGCAAAGCGGACCACTTGAAATTACATGAGTCGGATCCGACTCGTGGGCTACGTACAGTTTGAAATCCATATTAGTAAAATTGTAATGTCTCTTTGATTTCTGAATAACTTTATTTTTAAACCATTATATTTACGATGATGTACAAATCATTTAAGTTGTTGTTTCGACTTTTGTCTTTCTGTTCGTCTGAGGGAAACTAAGATGCTAAACCGATTTTGATGAGGTTTTAACTGAAAGAGAACACATTAGAGCAAAATTTAAAGGTGCACTCTTTCCGTTTTTCGAAAGTATCTCTATTCACCAAAGTACACGAAATGTTTCTGAAAGTCCATAGAGGGCAGAGAAGGCCTGGTGAGGCAGGATGAATATGACTAGAAAATACACGAGGGACAGAGGGATATGCAGCTAGTCTTTATACACAAAAGTGGAGTGCCTGTGATTTCAAAATAAGTGTTTTAATCTATCGTTATTCTGATGTCATAAAAATCCACTCAATTGCTTTTATAATTTATAATCACTCAGGGGTAATCTGTAGAACG